TCCCCAGGGTGCCTCACCCCCAGCTGTCCCCAGGAACCCACCCGAGGTTCGCTGGAAGCTGTCGAGTGCCGAGACCTACTCCAGGATGAGGCTGAAGCTGGTGCCCAACCTCAATTTCGACCAACACTTGGAGGCCAGCGCCCTGCGGGATAATCTGGGTGAGGTGGTGGCACTGGGGCACCCGTGGGTCCTTCCGTGCCGTGGGCAAGGATGTCACTGGTGGGGTTGGGCTGGGAGATGGCACGGACAGCGCTGAATTTGGGGGCGCTTCACAGGAGTTGCCCCCAGCTCAGGGGGGTGGTGGGTCCTGCTGACCCCTCCTCATTTCAGGAGCTGACCACCTCCAGAACCCCGCCGAGTCCTTCCCGCTCGCCATGGCCAAGGAGGCCAAGGTGAGCGAGCTGGAGGATGACCAGCTGGCCGAGGAGGACCTCCCTGTCCTGGACAACCAGTGAGTGACCCCTGCCCTGCCACAGCACGGGCTGACCCGGGCTGGGGGTGTCACCAGAGTGTCCTCACCCCGCTGTGCCATCAGGGCCGAGCCCAAGGAGCAGAACCAGCGGGAGAAGCTGGTGGTGTCAGAGGACTGCGAGCTCATCACGACGGTGGCCGTGGTCCCTGGGCGCCTGGAGGTGACAACCCAGCACGTTTATTTCTACGACGGCAGCAGCGAGAAGGAGGAGACGGAGGGAGGTAACTCCTTGAGGGGTGTGAGGAACCCCCGCCCAGCCCCATCCCTGCCTCGGGAATGGCGGGATGGTGACCCCTGGGGGGCTCTGCGCGCCCCCACCCTCGGCAGGGATCGGCTACGACTTCAAGCGCCCCTTGTCCCACCTGCGCGAGGTCCACCTGCGCCGCTACAACCTGCGCCGCTCCGCCCTCGAGCTCTTCTTCATCGACCAGGCCAACTACTTCCTCAACTTCAGAAAGAAGGTGGGGACCCCCTCATCCCCTCCCAGCTCCCTCCCAGGGCCTCGGCTCTGCCCGAGCTCCAGCAGCTCCTTCCGTCCCCTCCAGGTGAGGAACAAGGTGTATTCCAGCATCCTTGGCCTGCGGCCCCCCAACCAGACCTACTTCGGCAGCCGGTCCCCCCAGGAGCTGCTCAAAGCCTCGGGGCTCACACAGGTACCGGCCCCACCACGCCTGTCCGTGTTCTGTGTGTCCCCTTCCCAGGTGGAAAAGGGAGGGTGAAAACGTGGGGATGACCATGGGACCAGGGATGGGCATGGACAGGGGATCAGGGATGGCTGTGGAGCTGGGAGCGGCCATGGGACCAGGGATGGACATGGACAGGGGATCAGGGATGGCTGTAGATCTGGGAGTGGCCATGGGACCAGGGATGGACAGGGACATGGACAGGGGATCAGGAGTGGCTGTGGAACTGGGAGCGGCCATGGGACCAGGGATGGACATGGACAGGGGATCAGGGGTGGCTGTGGAGCTGGGAGCGGTCATGGGACCAGGGATGGACATGGACAGGGGATCAGGGATGGCTGTGGAGCTGGGAGTGGCCATGGGACCAGGGATGGACATGGACAGGGGATCAGGGATGGCTGTGGAGCTGGGAGTGTCCATGGGACCAGGGATGGACATGGACAGGGGATCAGGGATGGCTGTAGATCTGGGAGTGGCCATGGGACCAGGGATGGAC